TAGGTAGGTAGGTAGGTAGGTAGATAGATAGATAGATAGATAGATAGATAGATAGATAGATAGATAGATAGATAGATAGATAGATAGATAGATAGATAGATGATGGATGGACGGATGGGTAGATATGAGTGCACACATGTGCACACACACATATATTTGTCTTTGAGTGCCTCCTAATTGATTGTAGGAATGCAACAAAACTCATCACAGCATCTTTTCAGCAAAAAGGAGGAAGAGAGAGCACCAAAAGACACAGTGTATGGCATTCAAACAAGGAAAACAAGGTTGGAGAGGGGCTAGCTAAAGGAACCAATGAGCCGTTTTGAAATCAAAACTGCCCTTTTTATTTTTTGTTTATTTATTTTTACTGATTCACTATATAAAAATCCTCAGTTAGTGGAGACTTGTTTTTCTTTTCTAAGACAGACATTCACCACCAGTTATTTTCCTTCCAGTAATGATTTATCTGAATTCCCACATTTTGTGTTAAATTTTCATTTTTGTTCTAATTTTTTATTTTCCTTGAGTTTATCTCTTAACTGATGAACTATCAAGAAGTATGGACTTTAATTTCCATGTGTTTGCAAATTATAGTCTTAGAATATTCTTTTCATTCATGCCTTTACATATTGAAGCTTATACATTGCACTATGCAGTATCACGCTTACTAATGCTCAGTATGTTCTCTGAATACTTCTGGGACAATAGGTAACAGGTCTCTTTGCCTTTCACTTGTAGAGCAACCAGTAGAGAATGTCCTGAATCCATGACTCCAGATGCCAGAGGCCTATTTTCCAGAGGAGCTCACAGAGATGGGCAGAGAGAAGTTTGCAGATTAACAGGCATCACTCAGGGATCAAAGAAAACCGTCATCAGTGGTTAGTCTAAACAGTAGGACAAAGATGGAGCATGCCCTGGTGTGTTCTATCGATTGTATCAGCATCACTGTGTCCCAGTGTCGGACTGTGGCTTGTGTGCTTTCTGCTTTTGAGGATTTCCTTCAGCACATTATGAAGAAGAACCTGTATTCACAGTCGTTCCAGTGGACTACAAGGAGAGAGCAATCCATCGTGACTCATTCCTCTGCTTGTGTTCATTGGGAATTTTATTCCTGTCCTCAGGTGTGAAGAGGATGACACCACTGCTTAGTGATGAAGCTTTTCTCTTTAGCCCTCATAGGCTTTTACAAGCACACGACCAGGATTAGTGTTGTTGGAGTGAATTAAGACGGAGGACATGCCAGGAGTGGACTGCAGCATGAGGACTATACTATACCACTGAGATGAGGGTGGGCATCAAACACTGTGAGCGCTGTCTTAACCACTCCAGTTGATTAAATGAGGTCAAAGACCACAGGTTTGCCCACAAAGCATCTCTAGTGATGTTTCAGCTGAGGATTCAGCAAATGGCCCACAGTCTCGGCACAGATTCAATACAGACTGAGGGGCCTTAAGAAAACCCCAGGAGGTGTCTTGATAGCCAGTTCTCACTGAAGTTACCCTCTGCCCCGAGCCTCCCGTGAGACCCACATCTGGCTAATGCTTAACTTGAGCAGACTTAGCCAGGCTAGCTGGTGTCTTGGGTCTTTGGTCATAATGGTCAAGAGCCCACAAACAAGGACTTCTCACCAATCCTCCCAGTGCACATAAGGCTTGAAGAGCTTCCTTCAACTGAGGATTATCATAAACGTGATGCTTTCCTAGCTGGGCTTGGCAGTATAGGTGTAGTCCTATCCGTGATGAATATGGGAGGTTCCGGGCTAAAACAGGAGGATTGTCAGCTCAACCCTGCTTGGGCCACAGTGAATTCAGGGCCAGCCTGCACAACATAGCATAGCACTATCTAAACTAAAATGTATAAGGAGGACTGGAGATGCAGCTCAGTGGCAGAATGCTTGCCTGGCCTGTGGATGTTCTGGTCTCGATCCCAGCAAAGGAAATGGACATCAACAGGGCTTCCTGGAAGCAGGGCCTCCTGTCGCTGTCGGAGGGCATAGCATGCGAATGATTGCAAGTTGAGGTCCAGTTGATGCTGTCAGCTGAACACTTCCCAGCTGACTGTGGCTTTTCCCCTGGAAGCCAGATCTTGCTGTCAAACCACACATTCAAAAAGGCCCAACCCCTGAGAACTGGGCTAGCCTTGGCACCTGTGCCATGAAGGAAGCAGAAGAAGCTCCCCGAGAAAAATGCAATCTACAGGCTAATTCTAGAGACTGGGTAAGTAGTTCAGAGAGCTGAAGACTGGAAACAGCTCTGTCTAGAGGTTTGGAGGGACAGCTAATAATGGCACACTCTAGGAAGGCCCACTAACCCAGACAGGCTTTGTGAGCAGTGGGTGATGGATTCCTGGAGCTTCTAGTTTGCATTCTCCCAGGAGCAGGGGCTAAATCTAGGGGAGACCTGGATCTGCACATTTGCACCCTAGATCCGGCTTCTCTGCGTCCATCCCTTCAACTCTCCCTGCCCCATGGAACAGTGCAGATGTCAGACCAAATGCAGCAGCCCGGGATGTTTTCAACAAAATTGCCTTCACTCACTGTAACTCACCAACTCCTAAAGTGGTACCCTACCCTACCCTTCAAGGGACTCAGCAAGCAAAGCCCAGTACTTCCTGGTCCATATTACATTTCTAACAAATCATGATGACAACCATTACAAATACACACACACACACACACACACACACACACACACACACACACACACACACACACACACACACACACCACTTGTGCAGTTCAACAGCTAAGGAAGCAAGTTTAGTTCCAAACACCTGGGATGCTATCCCAGAACCGGGCTAACCCCAGGGCTCCAGATGCAGCTCACTTGTTCAACAAAGTCTTGGGACCACAGCTCATCATCATAGCTCAGGAGTCCTGGATTGGGACACAGTTCATCCTCTTTTTGCTCTGGCTTAGTGTTTTCCTTTCTTCTTAGAATCTTAGTAGAAGATTCTGGGAGCCTCACCAGCCAGTGCATGATGTCTGTATACTTCTGCATGGCTTCAGGAAGGATCTCTGAGTGTCTTGGTCTCTGGTGACTGCTGATATCTGGAGGCAAGCAGGTAGGGATACCCTCATGGTAAGTTTTCATGGAGGTTCATGCTAAGATACAGGAGAGCATGATGAAGCAGGAATTTGGTCCAGCTTTACCCCAGCCATACCAGGGAGAGCAGGGTTCAGGGGAACTGCACTGGCCCAAGATGAACTGGGACAGCTTGTCCTAAAGACCTCTGAGAGGGAACTTTGCAAGAGGAACGTCTAGGACAGTTGTGTGGGAGAACACTTGGAACCACCAAATATCCCAGTTACTTTGCAAACCCAGTGCCCAGTTCCTGAGTATTCCCAGTACTGGGCCTTTGGAGAGGTGACAGGAAAGAGGAGTAATGATCTTGGCCAGATCATCACACAGCAGAAGACGGAGGGCATCAGGGACCCCAGGCTGTAGGAAGCTCGTTAGCTTGCACAGCACATGCCCCATTCTAGAGGAAGAGGCCCGCATGTGGGACAGTAGACACTTGTGACTGATTTGGCCTTTGCATGGACACCTGCAGGTAGGTGTAAAGCCTTACCTGGCTCTTCATCAACACCAGGAGATGGGAACCTTGAAGATTCCTATTTCAGTGGGGTTGTAGGAGCTTGGCGCTGCAAGGCTCATATCATCTCCAACCTTGGATTCTCTGTCTCCTTTACACGCTCAAACTCCATGAACTTAGGAATAAGAGAAGCTCAGTCTGAGGTGTGATGGAGGTCATGTTCATGTTCAGCTCCCAGCACCGGAAGACTGCTAAGGGCAGGAATGTAAAGCAAGGTCTTTGACTGGGCTGGTCCAGTACCAAAGAGGTTGCTGATATAAGGACAGAACCACAGTTCTGGAGACATCTGAAATCCCTTGGCATCTGCAGGACTCCAGTTCAGTTAAGGTGGCCCAGAAAAAGCCTTCAAGTAATCCTTCCTCCAGGCCCATCCTGACGTCACTGGTCCAAGATCCTTGGTGTGCTCCATCAGTCACATCCCTGACCAGATCCAGAGATGCGGAAGCTGAGATTGGGAGAGCTGGAATGACCTGGGAGACAAGGGCCCAGGAGATGTCAAGAGAAAGTAGAAAGGAAGCTGAGAGGCGTGGCTGCTTCCCTCTGAGAGCTGTTCGTTGGCTTGTGTGCACAACAGCATCACATGGAGCAAAGGCAGAGACCAGACATGTCCTCAGAGTGTGTAAGAGGCTTCTCTCCTCTCTGCATGCTCTTTTCATTTTCATCAACATTAGGAATATAATTGAGGAGGGTTTGTTGAACAGCAGTGGTTCACTTTCAAGGCACCAGCTCCCCAGTCAGGGGTTGGCAGAGGCTGGCACATTGTTCCTATTGCATAAATCCTAGTGTTGGAGGAGAGCACATGGGGCTGAGGAGACCACTGGAGACCCTGTTCAGAGCCAGGAGGAGACAGTGTCTGTGGTTGCAGTCATCTAGTCTACCTGGTCATGTAGCTGAGCTGACTCACAAATTGGCCAGAGTGGTCTGGAACCACCAGACTGGGATGAGCCAGCGTCTCTCAGAGCCTGGGTGGGAGTTGTGTTTGAGGAGACAGATTCAGGGTCTGGAAGTAGATCTTGACCTGATCCCGCGTGTTAAGTGTGCAAGCCTGGTAAAGACACTGCAGTAGGCAGGATACGGGAAGTCCAGGCCCCATCTGGCTGGTCATACCAGGTCCCAGGCATTTAATGTGGTAGAGAGAGAGAGGAGTTAATGTGAGTTCTCGGTGAGGTCAGAATTGCCAGCCGCCTGGGTTGGGGTCCCATACATCCTCATATCAAGACTCAAGGGTGCTTTGTTGGGCTGAGTAGCAAGAAGCTCCTGAGCTGATCCCACAAGGGGATGAAGGAAGGTGTTGGGCTGCTGACATACGGAACTTAGCTTGACTTGCCATGCCTCATGCCTAGAAGGTAAACGTCCCCCACCCTGTGCTCTACCCTGTCCTAGGCTCAAAGCAACTGCACTCGTGACCATGGACTGAAACTACTGAAACTGTGAGCTCAAACCAACCCTCCTTGCAAGTTGATTTTCTCAGGGACTTATTCACAGAGCTGCAGAGCTAACAGGCACCTTCTTGTGCCTTGCCAAGCTGCCACTCCACTTGGTGGTAAGTGATCATGAAGGATTTGTTAAGTCCACACGTGAGTGCTCAGAGGGAAGTTTCCTTGTTTCTGAGCAGGAGTGGAGAAGCATCCAATGCTCGTGGCTTTGTTCCCACGGCTCCCACCTGGAGGCCCTTCACCCGCTCCACATGCCAATCCAGCCCTTCTGGAAGTCCTTGAAACTCCTCTGCCCCCCTCCAGATGGCGGCATCTCTCTGGACCCTGTTCCTTGGGGCTGCCCTCCTCACACTCATTCCCCTCCTGCATCATGCTGACAGGAGCTTGTACCTCCTGAGAGAATGGAAGCCTGGGGCCGTAGAGGGTGCCAGGTGAGCGCAGCAGGGATTAGATGCCAACAGGCTTAAGGGCTTTCAAAGGCAGTGACTCTCTAGGCTGCAACTCCCTGAGCTGTCACAGACACTCCCGTTCCTCTCTGGACCCCTCCACATCTGATCAACGTCAGGCTCCATCTCCCATATAGGGCCCCACAGTTCCCACTAGTGCAGCCAGTAACACCTCTGAACTGGGGTGACCTCACCTTAACTCAAGATGCAGTTTTACTGAAGTGATCAGAAATCACCTGGCTGAGGGGCATATATAGTATTTGTCCAGAAAGTGACTCATGGGAGGGCAGGGGACAGTAAGATAAACTGAGGTCTCTAGGGAGACAAGGAAACACAGTCAGTCCTCATGGACAATATCTGTGTCATTAGACAGATGTGGTTGGGGTCATGGGCCTCCCTCTGGGAGCTGAGAATGAAAAAATGATAAAGATGTGGGCAGATGAAGTTGTGGGAGGTGTAAGGGACCATCTGGGAGGGACTGAGTCAAGGAAAGATCCGTGTGTTTTCATGGCAGCAGACTGCCTCCGAGCAAGGCCTGGGGGAAAGGCGTGTCACCCCAGACCCCTCTCCCCTCACCCTGTATCTTCCTCTGCTGCCTGCCCCTTCCTGGGGTCCCAGGGAAGGCAGACTCACTTCTGGAGGCAGAGGGCTGTAGAAGCCAGGTGGTAGGAGCTGAGAAAGACAGCTCCTCAGAGAGGCAAACCCCAGTACAGTCTGGCCTGCCAAGGCCGTTCACCATTTATTGTGTCCAGGCCACAGATTTCCTCCCCTGCCATCTAGGGCTTTCTGCAAACTATGGAGACATTCCAATGTCACGTGTTAGAGATAAGGTCCCTGATGCAGGGAATGATGTCCCAAGGAGGTTCCTCCTCCATAGAGTATAAGATCAAGGACAAGTCACATGGCCTAAGTGACTTTGGGATGCCCTGACCCCTGCTTTCCCTGGCCACCAGCAGGGACAGGATGGAGAGCCACATCTGAAAGCTCTGTGGGAATGAGAGCTCACGGGTCTTAGGGGATGGGGTGGGGTAGAAGTGCAGCCACAGCACCCCATCTTAAGTGGGCCTGCCAGGGCAGGTGGCTGGGAGTCCTGCACCAACACACCTCTGGGCCTACATTGCAGGTGAAAGAACTGGAGAATCAGGACCAAAGTCAGTTGCTCAAGGTCAGGGCTTCTATGTAGCTGTGCCCCCACCCCCTGCCCTACTCCAGCATCCCTGGGAGAATAACTGAAGGACCAGAGGAATATTGCCTTCCATTTCTTAGAGGGAACAAGGTGGGGCCAGTGAATGCTGTTTGCTTCTTAGACTTCTGGGAGGGGATCGCTGTACCCAGACCTTGAGAGGCTGTGCCTTCTTTGGGCCTGCCCTCTGAGCCTCAGGGAGGGACTGAGGACTTTGTCCCCACCCTCCACAGTCCTGTGCTCCCTGCTGCCAGTACTGAGCCAGCCCTAGATGCCCCTGATCCCACAGCTGGCCACAGCTGTAGATCTGCTGCAGAGGGAAAATGAGACTCTTAGGATGACTTCTCTGGGACCACGTGGTTCTGAGGGAAAGACACATCACTTCCTGTGCTGGACTAGGGCTTTCCAGCCCTTGCTTCACATGTGCTTACTCTCCTTGAGACGGGGATGGGGTACCCTGCAGTACCCCAGGGCCCACTGAACACAAGCCCCCAACACTGCTGCAGCCCTAGGCTCCCCAGTGCTCCCAGCCTTACATGTTCCGAAGACACCGGGCTGAGGGACAAGGCTGAGGGCACAGGGGTTGCAACAACAGCAGCAGCAGCTTCGTCTGCCTCAGGTCTCCACTGACTGGCACCTGTCTTAGGTACAAGGACCACAGGGGGAGGGTGCCCCTGACCTGGGCCAACATTGCCTGACCACAGCCCCCCTACAGAGATAGTAGCCTTGTACCTCTCCTTGAGACAGGCCCATCCCTGCCTTGACTCTGTCTGCCTGCCTGCCTGATTCTATTGTCCTCAGGATCTGGGTGACCCAGGTCCTAATACCTGCCTTGCCTAGCCTCTGACTCAATCTTAACCCTACTTGATCCATACTGAGTGTAAGCAGCTCACGGTGTTTCACAAAGTTTCACAGCTCACACAAAGTTTCTATGGATCTTTGAGGGAAAAAAAGACATGGTGTCTCAGCGTAAAACATGGGGAATGATGTGAACACCTGTCTGGGATGTCTCTCAGTGGTAAGCAATGAGGGCTGTAGGAAGGCTGAGTTCACCAGGACTCCCACATCCTCATGATGGAGAAATTTATCCATAGAATGAATTTTAAAAATCCATAAGTAAAATTCTTTAACTATATGTTGAGAAAAATAAACACAAAAAGTATTATTTCCACCCATCACCCCTTAAGCATGTTATGTGACTGACAGCTTACCAGCTTGTGCTGATCAGTAAATTCTCTTTACAGTGGTGGGAAGAGGCCGGCATCTGAATGGCAAAGTCCTTCTTATCCTCCATGTGACCACCTCAGTTTACATTCATTTTTTATGTCTTTCTTCACTACTCAGATATAAACTACAGATGTAGAAACTCCTGTTTACCCTGTTGGCACAAATTCAAATGCATCAGGGTTGCTCAGGACCCTTAATGTGGAGCTGTGAATCTGTCCATCAGATTCCATCCAGAGCTGAGTCTCTGAATTGGCTGCATTCTACCCTCAACCCTGTGCCGACCTTTGCTCTGGACCAAAGAGGCATGTGTCCTGCAACATGCTCCTCTACTGACCTGTGCTAGGGACTTCTTCCCCCAAATTTGCAGAGACTGAGGCCACACCCAACCATCTTCTTATTAAACAGCTTAAGGATCTTCCTACTCAAAGCCAGGGCCAAGGCTGTTTAGATGTTGCCCCTAGGAGGTACCAGGGGATGTGACCAGTGGAGCTGGTATGCAGTGAGGCTGTGGAGGCCCTGAACCGGGCAAGTAGCCACGGAGGTTTCTTATCCCTGCACTACAGAGCTGAACCCTAGTGGAAACAGCTCAAGTTGATGTTGGAACTGTAAAGGGACCCATTGGGAGCATGCTGTTCCCTGCCACCTCCTCAGGCTCCCCACAGCCTCATGCAGCAGGACGTGCGTGCCTCTTCTCACATGGTATTCGATAAGTCTGTTGCTCTTTGTCCTGTGGACACTTAACAGCTGTGCATGCCAATCCAGAAGCTCACAGCAGCTCTGATCTCTGACTCAGGCAGGAGACTGTCCTTGCCTCGGGTCTGTCACCCCAGTCCCATGTAGCCCAAGGAACTGCTTGGTGCTATAGTCCCTTGGGTTCCAGATACTAAGCTGGAAAAGCCACCCACGGAATCCATGAGGAGGTCAACCCTAGCATGGAAGCCTGAAGGTTGCCCCTGCTTGTGAAGAGACTGAGATTTTGCCCAACCAAGCAACAGACAGCATACAATAGCCTTGAATCTTAGCCCAGAGACCATAGGGGTATTTTTAGTGTGGTGATGTGATGGCATGCATAGCGTAGAGGACTCATGTGCTGAGGACTGAGGCCCCAGTGAAGTCCCAAGATTTAACATGGGTGAGCAGAAGTGCCTTGGATTCATCCATGGTGTAGAAATGTCACCTCCAAGAGCATAAGAAACGATTATCTGTGGTATAAATTACTCAAAACAAGATACTGTATTGGAGAGCAAAGACAGGTGGCATCATCCTCATGTCTACCTGAAGGATGCATCAACACACTGTCTTTGGGATCCTGGGGTTCTGGTGAGGGCCTTATTGTGAAGTTGTGATGAAGCTGTAGTCCTCCGAGGCCCATAGATGTTCATCCCATGCCCTGGGGTGTCTAGGAAACAGAGCATTTTGTTAAGAGCACCACAGTGTCAGTGAAAAGCTACCTCCTTTCAACCCATCACTCTTCAGCCTCAAGATACAAGACTTGACCCTAAATGTAGGTATGATAAGGTTTGTAAAAGTAAGTTATTACAGAAACTTGGGGCTGAAGTGAAATACCATGGAAGCATCCCATACATTCGCGCTCTGATTAGTCAGTCCCAGGGTTGTAGACACAAGGAGTCATTGTGAGGTATGCTAAATAGCATACATACAAGATGCTGACAAAGTCAAATTTTGTCTTCAACTGTAGAGAAGCTGTTAGTTGGATGGCTGGGTGGCTGGTGAGCAGTTGGACTCACAGTCTCTGTTAGACTTTGACTTTTCCAACCTGATGGACCTCGACGTTGTGAGTTTGTTCCGGGTGGCTGGTGAGCAGTTGGACTCACAGTCTCTGTTAGACTTTGACTTTTCCAACCTGATGGACCTCAACGTTGTGAGTTTGTTTCCCAGTGTTTCAGTTTGGGTTTTGGGAGTTTGGTGTTTTAACGCAAGCAATATTAGGTCCAGTCTATATTGTTTGCTCCCGGGGTCCGCGGAAGAGTCTACCAACCAGCTGAGGATCCTAATCTGAGGGATATTCAATGAATCTATGCACACTGAGTTCTTTAGTCCATTTGCTTTATTCTTCTATGGCGATTCTATCTACACAGTTTCTTTTCTGCTCTCTTACTTAGCTCCTCTCAATCCCTCCTGCTCTCGGTCCCTCCTGCTCTCAGTCCCTTCTGCTGTTCTCTCATCATTCTACCTAGTTCTTTCCATCTCTATCCTCATCTTTGTTCTTCTCCATCAATTCTCTTCTCTGTTGCTCTCAGAGAAGCAGTATATATATCTACACAGTAATTCTTTGGTAAAGCAATGCGAGGCTTTGAAGTCTTCAGGGATGCAGAGAGAGGTGATAAGGATCCACACATAAAGCAATTAATTGTCAGCTTCCAATTACAACTCAAAAGGGGAGTGACTAAAGGGGAGTTCTCTGGTAGGGTCAACTAAAGCCTAAGACCAATTAGGGAATTTATGTGCTCAAACTATAATCTAGAAATGGCTAGATAGAATGTTAGGGGTCAGTAAGTCACAAGAAAGTAAACTGTCTTTGGCACCACTTTTCCCGCTCATCCCAGCTGCAGCTGCTTTCTGATAGGGAGGGGGACATATGCTAGGTGGCTAAGCAACCTATGTCAGAGCATGTAGTATTTGGTTAGTAAAAGCACCTTCACTGGGAGTAATTGCTGAGGAGAAAATCTAGGAATAGCACCTGGCTGAGGAGGAATAAAAACTTAATTTGCACAAGAAGGAAGCTTGGCACCTATCGCCTGCCTGGCCTTGCAGGCAATCTCCTTGGGTCAGTGGGAAGTAACTCCCTTAACTCAGTATCTAGCAAATGGCTAAAACTTCATCCCAGGAATGTGAGCAGTAAATCTCTTAAGTTAGGGTCCTGTGTAAATAACCGAGGATGAAGGTAAGGGGGTGAGGATTAAATTGTTGGTGGTTCTTTTCTCTATCTGTGAGTGAGATGAGTTAATGTTTATCTATGTGCAGTTTTGTCCTTGGAAAAAGGTATCTTTGCTGAAATACTTTTGTCTGGAGAATGGCCCTAGCCAGATATATGTTAATGAAAAATAAACACAGCTGGGAACACTTGTCCAACTACCCCAAATGTATAGGGAAAGTTGTGCCCAAGATTGAGATACAATCGTGAGATTACATGTACACTAACATGGAGATGCACGGCAAATGGGGAGAATCATAGCTGTTATTGCACAAGAAGTTTACAAGAGACAACCAGTTCATTCAATAGGCAGTAATCCCATAATGCCTTGCATGATGATTTCCTCTAACGGAACCCTTAGTTCTGATAGGTGGACTTCTGAACTCTAGCTGTCACTGCTGTATACTCCCATGGACTTTCGCTACCAGCGGCTCTCAATAGTGTGTGGCCTTTTATTGACTTTATTTATAATATTGTATAATTTGTGCCTGCATTTTTCTTCATTGTTACCCATTTTTCTTTTTAAAAACTCATCTGTCATTTTTTGGTTTTGTTTCTTTTTCATTTCAGAAGGTTCATTGGTTTGTCTTAAGTGCACACAGTAGGGGTTCATCCTGACTTTCTTACCGGCTTACACTGCACTTTGACTATATCCACCTGCTCTTTCACGTGCCCGCCTTTCCCATGTGACTGATACTTCTCCTTTTGCAGAAGTTCACCCCCTCCACTCCTGACACAGCAGATAAAATGTGGTTTCTGTTGGTGTAACTGACTTACTCCAGGTAAACCATCTCTACTTCCATGATTTTCCTTGAAATAACATTTCATTCCTTTTGATGGTTGAGTATGGGACTCTTCCCTTGATTCTGTTTATATGGTATGCTCTTTGCAAATTTGTATTGTAGAATTATCCTTGTGTTCCTGTGTGAGCCATCTGTGAATGAAGGTCTTTTTAATGTGTTGTTGAATTTGATGTGAAGTATTGAGGTCTCTCATTAAGGATTTTCTCCTTTATGCTCATCAAAGACTTTGGCTTACACCTCTTTCTTTTAAGTTGTCACTTGTCCCCAGAGCACAATTCACAGTACTTGTCTTATAGAATGAGTTTGGAAGTTTCTTCCCTTCTGTTTTATGGAGTGTGGGATCATTCCTGTTAATTATTATTAATAACGTAGAATTCATCAGTGAATTGTGCTCTGGTCACACTGCAAGGCTTTCGTGATCCACCAGGACTTTCATATTCCTTTGTGCAGTTTTAATTTCTAGACTTTTCCTTTGATTACTCCTCTGCCATGTGCGTATGTTTGGTTTTTTAAGATGGGAGCAAGGGAGAGAAAGCAGGTTAGCGAGAGACAGAGATCGCAGGACAGATCCTCCTTTTAGGCTACATGACAGGGGTCCTTGTTTCTCTGGATATGGGAGGGAACCTGGATAATGCGAGGCAAAAATCAATCTGCTTTGGACACTGGACAACATGCTTGGGGTGGGGACTGGGCAGTAGCCCTCTCTGCTGAAGGCATGTGTGGTAGTTACTTTCCTGTTGCTGCCATAAAAGACCATGCAAAGACAACTTAAGGAACCAAGTTAATTTAGCCTATTTTCCCTGAGGGATAAGAGGCCATGAAGGTGGAGCGGAAGCATGGCAGCTAGCTGTAGTCATGGCAACAGGAGCAGGAAGCTGAGAGTGTCACATTCCCAACCTCAGGCAAGAAGCAGAAAGAACTGGAAGCAGATGAGCATTTGCAATCTAAAGGTCTCCCCCCAGTGATGTGCTTCTTCTAACAGAGCTATACCAACTAAGGTTCCCCAAGCATCACCACCAACTGCTGTCCGAGTGTTCACAAGCGCGCGACTGTGGGTGATAGTTCTTATTCAAACCACCACAGCATGGCTGCCTAACACTGTCCCGTGTGTTGGAGCGCTTGCTTTCCTATAGCTTATCCTATTCTGGGAAGTTGTGGAGCCCATGTGAGGCGGGCTTATCTGGAGGAACTGTACCACCGGGAGATGGAGACCTGTCCATACAGTGTCACCAGACACCTAACAACCCAGCTGCCTAAGCAACAAGATGCTCCCACTCCCATGACCCCTGTGCCTCTTCAGAGCCTACAGGAGTCCACACAAAGCCTTCCTCCCTGAGGGTGCTACTTGTCAGAGATTTGGTCACAGCCATGAGGAAAAGTCACTCATGAGGAAAAGTTACAGTGGTTGTGGGACAGAAGTGAGAAAAACCACGGTGGGTTGTGCCAAGGAATGATTGGTCCATTTCTTATGACCTCACAAGGAGCCAATTCTGAGGAATGCTGAGCACGAGTCCACATAAGGTGCCACCTGGGCAGGGCCTGTCCCCTTATTGCAGAGACACTGCTGGTTGGCTGCAGAGCAGGATTGTAATGTTGGTTATGATGGGCTTGGGCGACTCCAAACTGCTGGCCCTTGACAGAGAGTTTGTCTCCTAGATTGTTGGTTTTGTTTTCTGGTTTTAATTTTCATGGTTCACTTTTCTGTTTATATTATTGGTTCCTGTTTTAAGATTAATTTGTGCCTATTTTTCTTCATTATTACCCATTTTCATTTTTGAAACTCAAATTTTGTTATTTTTTATTTCATTTTTCTTATTTTAAAACACCTTTTAGTATATATTAGCCATAAGGAATTTCATTTTAACATTTCCATACCTGACAACACTACACTATGATCACGCCTCCTGCTCTGCTTCACGTTCCCACTCACATCTGTGCCACTGACACCCCCCCTTTTACTGAACTAGAACCCACTCCCTGCTTATGACCCATAGAACAAAACAGAAACATTACACATTGATGGGACTGTGTCATGTCAAACTATTTCTAGAGACATCTACTTTCTTGAAAATGGCAACAGCTCATCCCTCATTGTGGCTGAGCAGGGGACTCCTCCCCAAGTCTGTTTATAAGCTATGTTGCCAGTCAGTTTGTGTACATGTACTTATCATTGTAATCCTGGGAGAAGCCATTTGGATGGTGAAGGGAGGTTTTAGTATGTTGTTGAATTGGATGTGAGGTATCAAGTGCTCTCATTAATGATATTCACATCTTTGTCCAAGGAAATTGGCCTATTCGGGTTTATGTGCTTATTTGATTTTGGGAGCAGGGTAATACTAGCTTTGTGATGGGTTTGAGGGTGTTCTTTACTGTCTCTTTTATGAGATATTTTCAGGATCATTGGTGATCATTCTTCTCTAAGGTCTGGTAGACTCAATGAATCCAGGACTCCTGGGCTCTTCTTTGTTGGAAGCTATTTTTATTACTAGTTCAGTGTTGCTGCTTATTATTGACCTGTTTTTGATTTCATATTATTTCAATATCCACATAAGTCTAGCAATTTCTTTCATGTTTTCTAACTTAACAGTATAAAACCTCAAAATATTAATGATCCTCTGGAATGTGTTTGTGTCCAGTGAAACATCACCTTTTGCCTCTAATTTGTGTCTTATCTTTCTTGGTTAATTTGGGTAAGGGTTTGCCAGTTTTGTTTGTCCTTGCAAATAAGCACCTTTTTGTTTTTCTGTCTCTGTGTTGTCCTTTGAATGTCCATTTCATTGATTCCATCTCTGCTCTTCACTATGCTTTTTCATCTATTGCTGTGGGGTTTGCATTGTTCTTATTTTCCTATGACCTTGAGGTGCATCATTAGGTTGTTTGGAGTATCTCAGATTTTATGCTGTAGAATTCATAACTATAAACTTCTAACCTGCTTTCTATTTCTTCCTAGCATCATGTGGTACTACTGTTTCTCATAATAAAGTGGTTGAGATGGAGGCAATCCTCATGGCCAGCCCCATGAAGAGGGCATCCTTCAAAATGATTACAAAATCTACTGTCCCTGGGCTGTGGCACATTTTGGAAGGCAAAGCTGGTGTGCCGCATTCTCACACATACACAAGTAACTGTCGAGGCCCTTGAAAAAAGCAACAATGACTTGTTGGCATCACCTCTGAAGCAGAATTCATAAATCCTTAGAACATTATAAAAATTTTTATATGATCAATATACCATTAACCACTTATATGACAATGGAATGTGTGGTGGCAGAAGACCCAGAGAGGTGCCTAAGGGAGCTGGGCTGTATACAAGGGCAGGCACTACAAAGTTTCCAACAGGTCATGTCAGTGGTTCACTTCCTCCACCAAAGACACATCCACGGGAATATCAAATTAGGAAAACATTCTGGTGGATGCAGTAGGAAATGCAGAAATTTGCCACTTCAGCATGGCAGCTAAATCCACAAAGGGCAGATGTTGGGGAAGGTCTGTAGCTTCCTGCTCTACCTGGCCCCAGATATCTTGGCAGGAAAACTGTGTAACAGCCGTGCAGCTGATGTGGAGCTTGGGCATCCTTCTCTGTGTCATAGAGCACTTTCCATACTTAGAAACAAGTCCTTCAGGTATACACCAGCTCATCACCAACACAATGTATTATCTTCCCTGTCATCTGTCCCAAACCAACCAAATTATTATCGAAAGATTATATTGGTACATGATAGTAGGTCATCTCATGGAACACCTAACATGCCTAACACCCAGGGCTGCCTTGAGAAGATGCCCTGCCTGGGTACCACAGACATGGAAGGCAATGTGACGACTGTTGACATCAATAGCAATTTTCTGAGGGGTATTGCAGTTACCAAGGCTTTGAGTGATACTCTACCTGATGAGCACTTCCTACCAGAGTCAGCCCCGGATGCAACAACCACAGAGTTAAATGAAAAAAAACCAAAAAACAAAAAACAAGGGCTTGTGCCCTGTAGAATCATCAACAGGGCCAGCCATGCCCAGTGACCAGGCCAGGTTGAATCTACAGGCTCTGGATCCAAGTAACTAGGGCTGGAAGGGGACGAGGAGTCGAATTACTCGAGTACGAGAACACTTTGCTGCTGCCTGCCCACCCAAAGGTGAGTCACGGACACTTTCAGAAAGGAGCTCCAAAGAAAGGAGAGTGGAGCGTAGTAGTTTAGGGCACCAAAATGCATTTCTATGTTGTATTTTAATGCTTTTTAAATGCCCCTTGAAAATGTCAAGAAAGATGTCTCTCTTTAGAAGGAACAAGCTCACAGTCTCCCTCTTAATGTAGAACCTGGGAACATTGAACCAGATGGAGAGAGCAGAGCGTGGGGCTAGAGTAAGAGAGGGAGGAGGGAGAGTTTAGGAAAGAGGACAAAGCTTCCGAAGGGGAGGAGTCAGTGGCACAGCAGGGTAGCTCTGTGCTAAGTCCTGCCTGTGCCATGTCACTGACAGAGGCCTTTTCATGTGTCATCTTTGAAGCGGTGAAGGGGAGAGGCCTGGGTGAACTGCACTCCCGGTGTGGATGGACCCCACAGGAGGAAGCAGCCCAGAACTCCAGTGTGCTGGCCCACACACAGGGCACAGGCTCCTGCAGCCATCCTCCAGCCCTTGGGTCTTTGCTTCCAGCTCCCTGCTTGCTTGCTCAGCCCAGCACTGCTTGCAACACAGATAGGAGGTCTCGCGTGACATCTGCCTGATGAAGGTCCACCTCCCCAGCTCCTGCAGAACACCTACTTCTGGAAGCAAAACTGACTGACATACAGGTCTCGAGCTTCTCATCTGCTTGGTCCCTTCATCCCTTCAATCTTCTCTCTCACTAACTCCTTTGGGACAGAAATGGATAATCTAAGTGTGAGTCCAGTCAGAGGAGGGAAGGGAAAGACGGGCATAAAGAAATAGAGGAGAAGAGGGGAAAGGGGTGAGTTGAAGGGAATTGGGGAGGGAGTAGAGTCTGTCCTGAGGAAACTCCTATCACGGAGGTGAGGAGAAAGGACTGAGTGTTGGGTTGGGGCAGAATGTAGGAAGACAGGAGCAAACTTCAGCCTGAAGAGTGGAGTTGGAGGGTGCAAGCTGTGCCCCCCCCCCCCCCGGGAAGAGGCCCTGATTGGAGAGTCCCAGCATGTGCCAAGGCACACAAGTATGATGCTGGCTTGGAAATCTGCTCCTGTCTTAGGTTGCTGAGTCAGGGTATGGTGGGAGAGAAAGGAAGCCTCATCCACCAGTGGAGACCCATCCTCCTCCTGTGTACTCAGGCGTTTGGACTGATCTGTCAACATCTCTTTGTCCTCCAGACCTCCCATGGCAGATCCTGATATGCCAAAAAAGCCTGGGACCAGAGGGCCAGAGTGGAAAGCCTGATGACAGACCAGATAGATGGTTTTCCCCTCACCAAACCTCAAAGCCAGTTAGTGGCACCTTTCCCTCTGGGTCGGGGAGGCCTGCATAAACCACTGTTCCCTTTTACTCACCCGGGCTAGTGTTATGTCAAGACCAGACTTTAGAAACTCATCTTTTACCACAAGCAGATACTCAGTGGACTCAAAATTACCTCCAAGTGCAAGATGCCCTCAGGTGAGCTCCCTGTATGTCCTGTCAGCTGGTAATTCCCTCCCTACCAGGAAGGTGTCCAAGAGAACACTGCAGATGCCTGCCAGCAGGGGGCCACACAGCACTACTAGCTGCCATCTGGGGCTCCATGGCAATCAAGATCTCTTTGTAAACCTGACCTCTAAGGTTGACACTGGGTACAAAGTAGTCCCATGGCTGCTGGCCTTTGGAGACAGTGCTCAGCCCCAGGCCTGAAAAGGCCTACCTACCTTGGCACAGCGAACCAAAGCAACCTCAAGCATTGCCCACCCTTGGCCTTGGCTTTCTACTAGAGACCAGAAATTGGGTGAGGAAGGGCCCTTGAAACCAGAACCTTCACCAAATGCTTGTTTGTGTTTTTCACACCTGGTGGTGGGGCCAGTGTGTTTCCTAGCTGCCTCTGGGTATCAGGGTGTTGAGACCCACAGTTCTGCTGCAACCCACAGACTTCTCCTGATGCTCTTTACTAGAGACATTGAGGGACTTGTCCTTGGGAAATAAACAAGTTTGGTCAGTCACTGTGTAATCTCTGGGCCAGGCATACAGCCCTAGCTATAACATCCTTTGTGGCCCCAGGCTGGTTGGGAGTTCACATGTCAGCTCCAGAGATCCACCATGGCCTTCCTTTCTGGTCTCGGCTCTGCTGGCTCTACTGGTGTGTCCACCATTGAAGCTCTCTTCACTCTGTCTCAGCTGGACAAGTGGAGGGGAGATAGAGAGTGGGAGACAGAGATTCCAAGGTGACATGTTCGTAGGGAGCCATTTCTGACCATCTTGCTACAAGGAAAATGATCAGGGCCATCAAGGCAAGCTCAACCCTTGAGTCAGAGGCCCTGCTTGGTGTCCCTCCCCAGGGGAGGTCACAAGGAAAGAGGCAGGCTTTGTACCCGCCTCTCTTTAGTCTCTGACACCAGTGAAAATGAACTCACTATTCTCTGCAGAGGCTGCAGACTCGGTCCTGGGGAACATGGGACTTTGTACCAAGCTATCCATTTGTCCACAATGTTCTTCCTCTTTCATACCTGCTTGACTACATCTTATAGTTGTAGACAGGGCCACCTCGATATAGCAGCTTGGATTTCCAAACCCTACTGGCAGTGATGGTGCATTGGGTCATTACATTCCTCTTACTGAGAAACGTCACACATGTGGTTTCCTGGGGTTCTGGTAAGACAGCCAGTCCTTCAGGGTCCTACAGGACAGTGACCTGCTGTGGGTGGTGACAAAAAGGTTTCTTTTCCAACACCAGTTCCTCACTATGCCTTCACCTAATTACCCCAATTATATTGCATTCTAGAGAACATGGGACTTTGTGTTAGCTATCCATTTGTCTGGAATACTCTTCCTTTATTTACTTGGCCAAACTTTGCTACCTGTAGCCAGACCTGCCTCCACCTGGCAGCCTGTACTCTGGCCCTGTTGGCAGGGATAGGACAGATGGTCATCATGGTCCTGTCCTCTTACTGAGGGACTTGACATTTGGTTTCCTGGAGCTCTGTAATTTCCCCCAGAGCCTCAGGGCTCACAAGTCAGGGACACATTGTAGACAGTGACAAAATTGCAACACCAGGTCCTCATAGGGCTCATGTTATGATATATATATATACATATGTATATACATATATATATATATGTATATATATATTGCATGTGCAGGGAAACATGCTAGCATGCTGGCCAGATGCAGTGGCAGGCTGGTGGGTGACCCAAGCCAGGCAGGCATGGTGGCGGGGCTGAGGCGGTGGACAGTAATTCATGACCCAGACACTGCATCCATGCAGAGATGGTTTATTATAATAGAGAGACAAAGAAGAGAGAGGAAAGAGGGAGAGAAGAGAGAGACAGGGGGGAGTCAAGGGGTGCCCATCTCATGGGAGGAAAAGCAAGAGAGAGAGGGAGGAGAGGGGTTTTTCCTTAAAATGAGGCTTTTATGTCAGGATGCAGGGTGGCGCCAAGGGGCCGGTTAGAGTATTAACAGCCCGTACCTCTCCCACCATGTAATTTCCTGTCTTGGGAGAGTATCCTAGCGGGGAAGCATCACAGTGAGTGCTTAATGTTGCAAATGCTCCCCTTGGACTCTGCATTTTCCCAAACCAGGAACGTAATCCATGTCTCTCCTCCTCTGCAGATGCTCCAGAAAACCTCCCTGAAGAAGCTCAGACTTGTCCCTTCATGACCAGCATAGGATGATGTGAGAAGCCTCTAGAGTTTGATTTTCTTCCCTGAAGATCCTTTCTTGTGGTGCTGCCCTTATAGAGAAGTCAAATTTGATTCTTGGAAATCAAATTTGAAGTGAGTTTAATGTCATTGTTGCCTAAGATGTCAGTCTGTGCTAGATAGTGAGACTGTGTCTCAGAAAAAAAAAAAAAACACCCAAGCACACCCCACGATTCTCCACAGAAGATAAAAGCCACCAGTGGCCAGTCCACAGGTGACACTGACACTCTGATCACGTGGCAGCCAGTCAGCCACGCCTGGCCACAGGCCTTTTGGCAACTGGCTCAAACTGCTAGGACACTCACTCCTAGTGACTTCCAGCCCAGGACTCTCCCAGATTCCTTATGCCTATGTGAGACTTAGTTTCCGGGAGGGAGGGTTCTGTTTCTGAACTGCTTGGATGGGGAAAGACTGTTTAAGCCCTGAAATCTTCTCAGAGCCTGGCCCTCTCCTCAAGGCTGGACATGGGATGGAAGGAACCAGTCTGAGTACCATGGAAGCAGAGAAATTGAGCAATAAAACCTCCCACCCTACCTCACTAGGAAGGCTGCAATGCCTGAGGCAACATGAGGTGATTCAGTCCCTGGCAGACTAGCTCATGGGAGCCATTAGGAACACATCCCAAACAGCCAGACCACTTCCCTTCAGTATCTCCAGGACACCCAAGTCCCATGGCCTCAGGGCCTTTGCTGAGCACAGGCCCAGGGTGTGCTCACCTCCCTGCTCCTTTCAGTCTTCAGTTCCACACAGTCAAGACAGGACTTTGCCTCCAGTGTCCCTGGGGACTGGGCTGGCCGCCATGATGGGCATTGATAGTACCCTGACATGAGTGCTCAGGCTCTCAGGAGTCCTCTGAACTCCACAGAGCCTGAAGTCCGCCACCAGCCTGTCCTGATTCTTGTCTCACAGAGCTGCAACAGGGGATTGGATACTCGGTGTCTACAAACCATCTGCTGTGGACCAAATTGGACTTGGGGAAGATGGGATGAGGATGTAGCCCTCAAATACTGCCCTTCTTGTGGCCAGGGAGACAGCTCCCTAGACAACATTCTTGTCAAGCAGGCTTGAGGACCCAAGTTAGATCCCCAGGAACCAAAACAGCCTGATGGGGCAGTGTGTGTCTCTAATCCCACCTCTGTGGAGATGGGGACAGACAGAGCCTGGGACTCCCTGTGCACATGGTGCAGACTAATTGACAAGCTCTAGCTTCAAGCAGAGACTGCCTCAGAAAATAAGGTAAAGAGTGATAGAGGAAGAGGCTTGATGCTGACCTCTGTCCCGCTCACACAAGCCCAAGCGTGTGTATGTGCCCTTGGACACATAAGCTCACACAACTCTACACAGACAGACAAGGTGGGAGGGGGGCATAAGGAAGAGGAAAAAGAAAATAATCAGTTCACATTTCATCTCTCAGAAATAAAATTTCTTATGTGTGAGATATTTTTTTCAACCTTCTATAGCCATGATTTTTGTTCAGGATCATTCTAATGGAAGGCTCCTTTCTCTTCTCATTAGATGTGTCTGTCAAGGAGCAGCACTTGGCTTTATGCTGCTAAGAGTGTGCCCCGTCCTGCACATCCTCATCCAGAATGTGGAATTACCTTCAGAGCCTCTGGAAAGGAGTCATCATGACTTTGACCCTGAATGGGAAGGGCAAAAGGATGCTAGAATTGAGTTTAAAATGTACAAAGGTCAAGGTTCTTCAGTACCTGCTTTAAAAGCTAGACAAGCTCAGTCATTATGGAGAGGGACCCACTTCTCCTGAGTGGCTGCGTCAACAAGCTCCGTGGCAGCAAGTGAATCCTCTGAAAATTAAGTTTGCACCGAAAGACGAGATGGCCCATTTGCAGACACAGATGGGCAGTGTTCGTCCTCGGGGTTGGAAGGCGGCCCCACATCGGCTAGATGGCCTTCTGTACTAAGCACCAGTCCCAGGCCCACCAGAACCAGGTGGTATTCCCAATCCACCCACAGCCCACGCAAGCCCAGACACAAGAAATTAGCCATCATAATATTCTCTATATATATTTCTCTGGTGGTTTTGTGTCTTTAAAAAATATGTTTTTTTATTTGTATACCTCAGAAATTATCAAGTATCTTTACATTAAAATAGGAAACTAGCTCATGTATTTTTCCTCACTGTTGTGTTTTTGTTTCATGTAACTATTATGATCCTCACATAACTGTGAATCACTGAAATGGATAAAAAAACTTCATGGAGAACTTGTGTGTGTGTGTGAATGTGGACACAAGCATGTGTTTATGTATGCAAATTTGGCAAATGCATGTGTGTATTTGAGCAAATGTGGGAAAATGAATGTGTATGTGTGACTGTGGTCTGTCCTTCCCAGTAGTATTTCTAAAGGGCTGTATGTGTACCCCTCACACTAGCCCTGACCCTCCCACACCAACCAACCATCAGTCAAGATGATTCCCAAGAGACATGGCCATAGGCCAGTCTGAGATTCCTTCTTCCCAGGTGATTCTGACTCTTGGTTGTATCAAGTTGACAATAAAATCTAAAACATAAAGCCCCTTCCAGATACTTCTGGGGAAGAGACCACACCTATAAAGTCACAGTGACATAAATTAGTGAATAGGTTCAGTTTGAGAGACTCTAGTCACACTTTGCCAGCCAGTTAAGACATGACTGTTTTGTGTATTTCTGATCATTGTGTTTTTCATTTTTTGTCTCAGTGTCTCACTCTGTAGTTCAAGCAGGCTTAGAACTCACTATGCAGCTCACATTGACCTACAATTCTCAGCAATCCTTCTACCTCAGCCTCCCATGTGCTGGGATACAGGTGAAGTTTCAGTTTTAAAATAGCTGGTTGGATACAAATATCCAAGTCTGTCCCCTTAGTGTCCTGGCTCACAGCCTTGGGGCTGCTATGTGGGAGGGCTTCTCTGACACACACTATTCCTTTGTTAATGGCACTTGCTGCCACATCTGAGGACCTCAGGAGTTTGATCCTTAGAGCGCATGGTAGAAGTAGAGAACCGACTCCCACAACTTGTCCTCTGGCCTGCATATGTGGGTCCTGCTCATGTGCAGACACAATAAATAAATGTAATAAAAATTTTAAATGCGTTTTACATGACAATTCTTTGAGGCCACTAAGATTTACTCTGAAGCCCAACATGGAGTAACTTCTTGTGGACAGTCCACATGTTAGGTGGTAATGTGTTTTCTCTGGCTATCATATACATTTGTATGTGCCCATTAAATCAAGCTTACCTGCTTGCTGTTGGCAATTTTTCTATGAGTTTCAGTTGTTTCAATGATTTTCTGTCAAATAGCTATCCGCATTTCTCTTGACTTCACTTAACTACTAGAGACCTTGTGACTGGGGCATCAAACCTTAAGTTTACTGTATCATTTGATCCTTAGGTCACTGCAGAATGCATTTGTCTAGAACAACACTTTATGATTCATAAAGGCACCTCCCGGTACTTCTGGTTAAAATAGTCTACTTTCATCTGTTTAATCGCTTGCCATTTTATGATTATATACTATATGCATATGAACCTAGTAAATAATTTTACAAATTAAATTACAATAGTTTTAATCTACAAATTAAAATGTTCATTTTCTCTCATTTTACAATGGATTTTTTAAAAATATTTTTCTTCCCTATACTCAGATTTAGACCAATAATTGGCTTAAAAAATGTTTTATAGGCATCATGGCCCTTTTAACCAAGTTTCCCAAATACAAGAACCTTTAAACACTGAAATACAAAACCTCCCCTGCCTCTGTCACTGCTCACATGAGAGCAGCTTTGGAGTCCCTGCTTCTCGGCTCTTAGTCACAGCCTGGTTTTAGTCGCTCAGTGATCGTTCAGGTTGATTTTTCTTGTCAGAGTTCCTTGAGATCAGCCAAGCTGTCACTCTCTCTCCTCACCAGCACCCGGCCCCTGCCTTTCTCCTCGTTGTGGCTGAGCTTACCCAGAATCCCTGGTGTGCCTGGGTATGGCATTCATGCATTCATGAAAGAGACACTGCACTAAGACAGCTTGAAGAACTGAGTTCAGTCCTATGCAAGGTCACATGACAATAATAATACCAGGTAGAAAGAAAAAAGCAGCCCCTTCCACCCTACATCTCTTGGTTGCTCATTCTTGACTCCACCATCTCCATGATGTACAAGAAATCAATTTCTGAGGTTTATAAATGACCCAAAACAAGGCATTTTGTTAGAGAGCAAGGTGACATGGCACCATCCCCATGAATGAAGAAGACTACCTGTCTATAGTAATCTGAGCTCACAAGATTTTCAGGGTAATTCATAACACATCAAACTACTGTCTTTTGAGATCTAGGGTTTCTGATGAGAAATCTGATAAGGGTCTTAGGATGTGGTTGTGATGCCCACAGAATGTTCCTCACATGCCCTGGGTATATTGGAAACAGAGCCTCAGTGTCAGTGAGGGGTTACCAGCTTCTACACCCATCAGTTTAAAGCAAGAGGAACTGACCACCCTCAGTGCAGAGATGAGATCTGTAAAGGCCAAGTGTTGATACAGAATTTTATGGTCCACTGAAGCTCACTACATCCACTTCCAAACTAAAAAATGCCAGCGTCCATAACTCAGAGAAGCGCAAAGCTTCCTGAGTCTGTCATTATCATTGTTACTATTGCTCATTATTGTTAAGAGGAAAAAGACTTTGTCATGGGTTGCATGTGAAATGTGCTGCACTATCGTGTGTTTGAACCCGTGGTCCTTTAGGCAGCACGGTTTTTGAGAAGTTAGGGAACCCTTGGCTGTGTGTCCTGGCTGGAAGTAATAGAACTTAGGAGACCTGGGAGATGGCCAGTGCAGTGGAACCAGTTGCCTCACACTCTGTTCCAATGCCAGCGGCTGAGCCCACCACCATGCTGAGCCTGATCCTCTGAAAGCCCAAATCACCTCTGCCTCCCAAGTTGTTTTATGTCGTGGATTTGAGAGGAGACATGAGGAAAGAACTTGAAGGTGATATGGGTTGTGGCTAGTTGTGATTGGTCCATGGTTCCTGTGACCTTACAAGGAGCCATTGTGAGGAATGAGAGTGGCCCACATATAAGGCACCGGGCTGGGCCTGGGTCTTGTCCTTAAACTGCAGTGAAGTTGTTGATTGGCTGAGGGCAATTGGGCGCAGACTTTGCTTCTGAGAGAGCTGTGTTTTATATTGTCCATCTTCGGACCTGACATCAGTGATCCACACTGGTCTGAACTAGTGAGTTTGCTTCCTGGGGGTGGGGTAGAGGGGTGATTTTGTTTCCTGGATTTTGACTTATAGCTTTTTAGTTTGAGGTTTACATTGTGCTTCTGTTTCAGATGGGGTTTTTTTTAATCATCCATATTTCTATTTTTAATTATTCAATTTTCTTGGACATTTTTTACTTTGGTTTATTCCTTCTAAAACTTCTGTCAACATATATTAACTGTGAGAAATGGGTATTGTGTTATGGTTAATAGGGTTGCATTATGGTGGATAGTAGGGTTGCAGTATGGTGAGCACCTTAACAAAGTACCCCATGATACTGCTTCCCCCAATCCATTAACTTAAAAGTTAATCTCATGCTAAGCATCTACCCTTCCCACCACATCACCCTTGAAACAAAATATGGACTAACATCTTGAGGTACAGCACATTTCCTTCAGCATCACAGTGTCAGGGAGGACCACCATCCTTTTGATGCCCAAAATATGAGTTTAAGAAAAAGGAATTAAGTGTCATGAGTGTAGAGATGATGAGGTTTTCAGTAGTCAGAGTCATTAGAAAACTTGAGGGTCCAGTTGAAAAGGCTATAGGAGCAGTCTAAGCTCCCTAGCTAGGCAATACCTATGTCTCCAATCCAGGGAAGGAAGCACCAAGCTCTCTGAGTTTGTCTTCATTGTCACCACTGCTCTTTTATTATTATCAAAGTTAAAATGTCCTCCATCTTCCTTAGTGTTTGAATGTGAAAAGTCTCACACCATCTGTTGATAAAATTCCTTCCCTGCAGAATTTTAGCATCATCTCTACCCATCATCCTGAGGTCCCAACAACAAACTGAGGCTGAATTCCATCAAAGTTCACTCTGAAGAACCAATGAATTTATTGAGCTTGCGTACAGAGCCTTTGTAAGGGGTGCCTTACAGGGGCGTGGACACTACTCCCCACAACTAGCCACACCTGTAAAGCCAAAGCCTTATCCAGCACCAATCAGGGTTTTCCCCACAGCCATGGAGCCCCTGCCCTTTAGCCCCTCCCCCATGCCACATGCATTCTTGTTAGGTGCTAGGGCACAGTTGGATACTTAGGTGAACATCTGTTGCGGTGGGGCTTCAACCAGCTCCCAATGGGAAGTTCTTTTGCAGGCAGACTCAGATGAGCTCTGCAAGATGATATTCGCTTGTCTGGGAAGGACAGTCACTCATGACACAGTCCACCCCACCCTCTGGCTCTTACACTCTTTCCGCCCTGTCTTCCGCAATGGTCCCTGAGCCTTGGAGGGGGTGATACAGATGTGTGACTATGTTTCTTCTACTCCCGAGAGAGAACAACACATCGTCATGACTTTCTATTCATCTGTCCATCTCCAGAATGTGGCAGTTTCTCCTACTACAAAACACAAGTGAGAGAAAGAACAAAAAAGAGGAAATGGAAAACTATCCCAACAGACACAGACTGTAGTAATAACCCAGGATTGTACATACAAATGTGGGGAAGCCCTTGAGCTGGTCTATCATTAAGCCCACCATAGCAGTTGCTTTTCCACTGGAGTCTATGACTTCCCTTATCCCAGTTTTTCTCTATGTTCCCAGTACTAGATGTGAATTTGCCCCGTGAAGCAAGCCTTAAATCCAATCGGAAGGTTGGTTCTATCCAGAACCACTTGATCCACTACTGCACAGCTGGCACATTTTGCCTGGCACTTCCATCTTGATGCATGCCAGGATCCACAGTAGAGTAGGATGTCTAGTTTTTAATTCTCCCCAGAATTCTTAGCGACTTTAGGCACGACAGGAGCTAGCTCACAGAGAGGAACAGTTGGGTTCCAGTCCTAGCTTTGCTTCTCCAAGTCTGGAAGCCAAATCATGCACCCTCTTAATAGGTTCTTACTATTCAGTTCTGGAATGAAACCAAATGTGTCAATGGCCTTCACTGCTTTGGGGGCCTCTGGGGCGTCTGTGGCCAGCAACTCCTGGGGAGGTAACTCATTCCTAGCACTGAGATTCCCAATAACCAACTTCTGGGATCATCAGTTTTTACCTTTCGGATACTTTGACATTTACAGGCTCAGGCTATTTCAGACATTCCCCAAACATGTTGGTGGGTACCCCTTGCGCCTTACCCAACCATAAAGCTCTCATGAATTCCACAGAAACCTGGCTTTTGCATTCTTTGTGACGTTCCCATGCTGGCTTCATCAGGAGCACTTGCATGCCAAACATCTCTTAGATGAGTCTCCAAATCTGTAAGACACTCAAGGGTTAGAGCTAGGCTATGCACATGTCCCAGTGCCTTTATACAGAGGATGGCAGGACAATGCTGCAGAGGCCAGAGCCACCCTCTTCTGCTGAACAATGAGACGGTGAGACAGAAAATCTTAGTGAAGTACTTTGAAAATTCATTGTCATCTGTTCCAAGCAAGTGCCAGGAGACTGCAGAAGGTCACAACTGAGGAGATATTGGAGTAAAACATGAGCAAGGTCTAACACAGCACGACTCTATTATATCAGTTGTTTTCTCCACGTGTTGGGTATAGTAGACAGAGGACGCTAACTTTGCTAGCTTTCCACAACCCTCACTTGTTCTCAGAGCCCTTCCATACCCTTGAGGTCTTCCACGGATCCTCCCTGCATGTCCCACCCCTAACAAGCTTGGTGGGGCTGGTTCATGCTGTTCATCCCTGCTCAGGGCTAAGGGTGAATGCGGTCCCTCTCTCTCCTGCCGCATCCACTGCTCAGACTGGTTCCCTGCGTTAGAGAGACTCAGGGTTGGAGCTGCACTGTGGCCTCTCTATCTACCACACCTGTTTGCTGGGGGAGACGCTGGCTGGGCAAATTCTCCCAAGTCCTAACGGAGCTTTTGCCGGAGAAACATCGACTGCTTAGTCTGGATGTGCAGCTGCCCATCCCTTGTCCAGGCTCCATCTTCCACACCTGTACTGTTTTATCATGGAGGCCTTTGTAAAATATTTCTCAGGTTTTAAAGTTCATTAGCATGGAATTTGACTTTCTGCCAAATTTTTCCTTAGAACTCGAGCTCAACACAAATTTTGCCACTTTTGTCTTCAAATGACAGAGACAGCCTTTCTTGTCTCTAGGCTGACCTTGTACTTGATGGACCCTCTTTACATGTTCATCTATGTCACTTGGATCCCCAAAACCTTTCCTACTTCAGAAAGATCCTGACCCACCAAAGGGTCAGCAAAACTGCTGGAGCTCCATACCAGTCTCAGGTCCTCGCTAAATCCAGTTCCTTTTCAAGTCTCCAGTGAGCACCATCCTTCAGGCCCTGTGACTTGGGCATCATACATTACTTCCCCCATACCTAGTTCCTCCTGTGTTGTCCTCCAGGCCCTGACATCCTTCCTGCTGATGACCAAGCATCTCTAATGGCTCCTGCAAGCCAGTCCATCAGAGGCTGGTTCCCCTTGCTCTGCCTCAGGCTGTGCAGCTTGTGTCCCAAGGATGGCTACGTTGCTCACCTTCATCGCTTCCACAACTGTCATATTGACCCCCATCTGCCCTCATGTCCCATAGCCTCACAAGCAAGACTTTACGAGACTCTTTTGTTTTATTGGTTGTTTAAAGCTTTTCCCTAATTCCAGCAATTCCAGTGTTGAATATTCTTTGATAGGGTCTCTTGCCCCTGACCCTTGATAAGATTCCAGCTGCCCGGTGGGTCATGGATTTCCCTTTCTCCTGTGGACTCCTGGGGTATCTTTTGTTGCTTCTAGGTCACCCCTTTCCTCATTGTTACCCACATCTTCCCATGGGTTCCAGGTTTTAGGGTCCCAAAAGCAGCTCTGTATTACTTGTTGAATTTGGGTCCTCTTCCCCTTTCACCCCCTAGCTATAAAAATGGCAGGCCAACACCTTCCTTTCTCCGACTGTTTTACCCACGAAGTCAGAGGCCCATGAGGAAGCCGCCATCAGCCTCCTATCCTTTTCTTGCTGCAGTCCCTCCCTCACACCTGCAGTCTCTCCTTCCAGGCTGCCGCCCCAGCCTTGGATAGATCTCTTGTTATCCATAGCAGCGGCAAGGCTGCCCCTGAGGCTGCGAACCAACACCCCCGCCTCTGCTACACTATTCCCAGGCCTTGTCAGGCCTGCTGTACATCTCCAGCCATTCACAAAGCATTTCCATACTTTGGGCGTGGATTTTACCCATCAAGAGGCATGCCACTCCACACTACCTGGGAGAAGACTGCAGTCCTGAGAGGTCCCCCACCGACACGTCCTACCCATTAGTTACATCATCCCACTCTTCTCTGCACTGTCCATGTCCCTGTTACTATTCCCACAAGCCCTATAGGGACAAACCACCATATCAAAACTTCCTCCGCAAACACCTGCCCCTCACGAAACTTGGCTTCACATGTCTGTTTCATTCTCCCTATTGGGAACAATGGTGCTCTTCCAAAACTCACCCTCGGTGTTGTATCCTGCTGACTATGCATAGTGTTGCTAAACTCCTTCTCTGGGGAAGACAGACAGCAATGTCTACCCCTCCTGTCCCAGTCCCAGTGACAAGCCTCTGCAGGATTCCACCAAAGTTCAGTCTGGGGAACCAATGAATTTATTGAGCTTCCTTAATAAGAGTCTAGGTAAGGGGTGACTTACAGGGGTGTGGAGACTCCTCCAGCCAGCCGCACCTGCAAAGCTTTAACCAGCACCAATCAGGTTTTCCTCACAGCTGCTTAGATGGAGCCCCTGCTCTCCTCTTGCCTGGCCTCTGTAAACTTTAGCCCCTTCCCCTCGCCACATTTCCAGGTAGTTGGAGCAACTGAATACTCAGGTAAGATGAGGACCTCATGCAGGACTCTGAGCCTCTTTTTGTGTGTGTGTGTGTGGGGGGGGAAGCCGGGAGGCTTTAGCCAGCCCCACTGGGATGATCTTTTGCAATGGACACAGATGAACTCCCCAAGATGGCGGTTGCTTTATTTGGGGCACAGTCACTCAGGACACCAGCTCATGTGTTAGACTGCTTAGTGTCTAGCAGGAGTGCTCTCTTAGAAGGTAGTGAAACCCATTGGTGATAGAGTCTAACAGGAGAAACTGAGTCACTAAGTGGGTGGAAGAGGCCTGCCAAAGCCATGCAACCAGCTACCATCTTCCCAAGCCACCAGTTCCTCCCAGGATAATGCTTCCCCATCCTCTGAAAGCATGAGCCATATTAACCCCTTCCTCCCTTAAACTGCTCCTCAGGGATGTGGTCACAGCCAGAAGAAAAGTAACTAACGTAGTCCTTGGGGACAGATAAAACCACTTTTGGGTCATTCCCTGCTATTATTGGAACATTCCTTGCTGTGACATCACACAGAATCACTGCAAGAAATGATACACATGTGTCCATATAAGGCACTGGCTCTGGCTGGATTTTGTCCTCATACTTCAGAGAAGCTGTTGTTGGATGGAGAGCAATGGACTCCAGCATTGGTTATGAGAGACTTGAACTGTCCCAATCTCTTGGACCTAGACATGGGGGAGTTTTCCTCTTCGTTGGTTTGGGTTTTAGTGGTTTTTGTTTTTTGTTTTTTGTTTTTTTTCATTTTAATTCATCTTTTGTTTTTGCTTTAGACTTTCATTTGTGCTTGGGTGTTCATTTTTCTTAATGTGTCCTTTAAAAATACTTTGTCATGTTTTTCTTTGGTTTTATTTCCCTATGATACTTCCATCCATGTAGTGAACTTGGGTCATTTCCATCTGTTCTGTTCCATTACAGCAGCTCCTTTGCATTGACAAATGTCCCCCCTTTTTATGAAGGTCCCACCTGCCTACCCATAGCACTACTTAGACTCACCATATCTCTGGAACGGGCATATTACAGACAAATTCCCTATGTCCATGTACATTCCAGAAAATGACAAAATTTCATTCTTTGTGGCTGAGCATGGGCCTCTTGCCCTGAATCTGCTTACATGCTTGTTTGCCACACCAACTCCAGTGTCGTCCGTTTGACATGAACAATTGTGTCAATATGGCGGACAGGAGATACATGTCCCATGAGACTAAGCTCCCTGGAGGTCCCTGGCAGAGTGCCCGCGTTATGCTTCCTTCTCGAAGAAGACGTACTTCACGGATCATGAGCTCTCTGGGCTATGGGTTCTGTACAACTGCTTTTCTGATAATGTTCTAATTAATCTATGAAGCACAGCCAAAATTAATGAATGCTTGGGTTGTGAACGATGGAGGAAATGGGAAGCTGGACATAGATCTTAATCGGACTCATGATAGCGTGACTGTTGGGCTGGGACCCAATGACCTGGTTAGGATTATGAGAAAGAACAGTCAAGAAAATAATTCCCTATAATATCCCCCTCTTCTGCAAGCTCTTATAGGAATAGAGTGGAAAGAAAATGAAACTTTTGGGGATATGATGAATCAGCAGGGAGATCCGGAGTTCAAGGTGACCTTGGGCTACATTGAACCAGTCTAAAAGAGAAACAGAGCTGGGCTGTAGTGGTGGCACAAGCCTTTAATCCCATAGCTAGGGAGGTGGAGAAGGAATATAAGGCAGGTGGAGACAGGATCTCAGCCCCATTTTGTCTGAGGATTCGTAAAAGGTGAGAACTTTCCACTGGTTGATGCTCTGCTTCTCTGATCTTTCAGCAGTCACCCTAATATCTGACTCCAGGTTTTTATTTAATAAGACTAATTAGGATCATGCATCAGCAGGTACTGCATGTTTGAAAACATTTTAGATCCATGTTGGCGTGGATGACATGAGCTACCATCCACACATTTCTTTCAGGATTTTCAGCTCTCTGGGTATGTGCCAAATGTCCCCTAGGGATGCACTGAGTTTAGTTTCTATTGAAATATCACCTTCTTTTGGCTTCATTTTATTTTATGTCTTCTCTCTCTGGGTGATTCAGGTCAAGGGTTTGTCAGTTTTGCTCACCCTTTCAAATCCCAGCTCTGTTTCCTTGGTCCTTGTTTCAGCCTTTTAGTGTCCACTTATTTCCAGCTCTGGTTCTTCCTATCCTTTGTCCTGTGCTTGGGGTTTGGTTTTTTTTTTTCAGTGCATCTTTGGATGCTTGAGGTATCTATTATTTTTATGATATAGGAACTGATAGCCATAAGCCATACACTTGCTTTCTAGACCTGCATCATTTTTTTTTTTACTTCTTGTATCATGTGGTAGTTTCCACATCTATGAAGGGTCTCAGGGGCAGCCCTCAGATGAGGACATCCTCAGAGATAACTATACAAGACCTTAACAACACTGGCTTCAGGCTCATTTTCAGAAGTGAAGCTCATCTGCCACATCCCTACCAACACCAGAGTAACCACCACGGTCTTGGACAAGGTCATTAACAAGCTCTCAGACATCATCTCTAAGGTGGACCTCATGAAAGTATAGAGTATCATGAAGCTATTTCAGTTAGTTAGCATAGAAGCAAAATCTTATTTGTGCACAGAATTTGTGACAGGGGGAGATTTGGTCAACCTCATAGCAGCTTTTGGCCTTATGAAGAAGGAGATGCACCCCATTTTCCAGCAGGTGGTACCCACAGTTGAATACCTTCATAAAAGAAACATCAGCCACTGGGACATAAAAGTCAAGAACATCCTCATAGATGTGGCTGAAATACACAACTATGTGATTTTGGGGTGACCATCAAAGCTACCAGTAGCCAGATGTTGATGGAGATCAGTGGTACACATTGTTATTTAGCACAAGAGGTTTTGGAGGGCAGAGGCTATCACGGACTCTCCAATGATATGTGGTGCCTGGGTATTCTGATTCCCTCTAGGAATACACAGTACCAAATGATTGTCTCCCAAAGAGTCTGACTCCATCAAACTCCACACACTTGGCAAACCTTACCTCCTACTTTATTGTTGTAGATCCCACATGAAGGACGACCATCAGCCAGCTTGTGGGGCACCAATGTTATGTCTCTGTGATGAAGGTTTGGCACTAGCCTACAGAGAGACAGTTTCCACAGTTCCAGTGACCATGATTGTGGAAGCCATCTGTAGCATGGGCTATAAGGTTCAAGAACATCATGTGAACTCTAGGAAAGAGAAGTCTTAATGATGTCTTGGCTACATACAATATATTACATTATTGATTAAGCAGTGAATACATTTTTAAATGAACAGGGAAACTTGTAAAGCCCAGTTCAAACATGAACCCTTCAGGTGGCCCTACCTGTTTTGCCCACTTTCATCTCATCTGGGAAGGACCAACTGCAGGAAGTGGATGAAACAGGGAGGATCAAGGTCTGCCCAAGGCTCAACTTATGTGATCTACAGTGGTTCCTGGATATCACCTGTCCTTGTAACCCTGCTCCACACAGTGATACTGTGCATTCTGACAGCATAACACCCATTGCCAGTAGACTAAAAGTTACGTGACATTCAGTACTCCATCCCTGGACATCCTGTGTTACCTCGAGGACACAGATTATAATTCTAACCCTGCCCCCACAGGGTAATAATGCTGTGGTTATCTAGAGCATAAACACCAGTTTCCAGGAGATTGACAATGACATAACATTCAGTAATTCACCCCTCGAGACCCTGTGCTACCTGGAGGATGTGACCTGCCACTGTCACCCTGTCCCACAGAGTGATGCTCACAGCATCAATAACACCTTGGAGGAGACTGAAGTTGACCTGAGGTCCAGTCAGACATCACCTGATGATATATCCTCCATGGACCCTCCCCAGAATGGGAAAACAAAAATGAAAATAGCTTAAGGGGGCTTGTACTCCAAGGAGCCATCATCAGGTCCTATCACCAGGAAGGATCAGACTCAAGTGGTACCCACAGCCCCCAAGACCACGAGACAAAGGGGCTGGAAGGGGATAAGGAGACAGATTATTCACGTTTCACAGTTTATGTTGGTGCCTTTCTACCCCAAAGATAAGCAGCACACTCCCGGGTAAGGGACAGCAAGGAAAGAAAAATGTGGTCCCATGGGAAGCACAGTATAGGCACAGCCACCAACATTAGATACATGAAATACACATTCACTTGTGTATTTTATCATCACTTTTAAAAGAACTTTTGCCACTGACAGGCTCCACCCATTTACAGGACATGACTCTTAAGACATTGTTCACCTTAAAAGCTCTCCTCCTGCATCCGCCTATGTGAACTCATGAAAAGTTGAACCAGAAGTGGACAACAGAGGATGTGACGAGAGATGGGGATGGAGGGAGGGCAGGAGAGAGCAAAGGTTCACAAGGGAGAAATCGGTGGGAGCCGAGGTACAGCAGAGGAGCTCAGTTCTAAGTCCTGTCTGTGTCCAAGTCACTAACAGAGTCCTTTTCATGTGTTTTCTTTCAAGGGGGGCGAGTACAGGCCCAGCTCCATTGTCACTGAACCACAGGGCTAGGTTCAGCCTGGTGTGGACTAAGAGCCACAGGAGGGAGCCAGGCCAGTGCTCTAGGAGTTTGTGTGTGTGTCCAAACACCTATCTCTAAGAAGACACCATTGGTAATCAGGTACTAGCTCCTCTACCCATCCTGTTGCGCTGGGTCCCTCCCCATCAGGTCACTTCGCCCTCAGCACTAATGGTTAGAGAGAGATGTGATCCACATGGCTTCCATGTTATGAAGCTACAGCTAGCTTCTCCAATACACGTGGGATGGAGCACCCACAGTGAGAGAACTGAGTGCTCCCCAGGGCTCAGGGTCTTCGCCAGTTTGTCCCCTCTCCTCTACTAACATTATCACTGAGCAGCTGGACAGAAATACAGAGACTGTGTAAGCACATGAGAAGGACAGGCAGAGGGGGAGGAAAAGGGTGGAGAGGGGAAGAGAGCAGACGTGGAGGAAGAAAGGGCAGGAAGCAAGGTGAAGGAGGAGAAGAGTCTGTCGAGTGGAAATTTCAGTCACAGAATTGAGGGGGGAAAGTGGGTCTGTTGGGCTGAGGCAGGCACCATGGACATGCAAGAGTAGAAGCAAACTCCCCGTGAAGAGCAGAGTTAAAGTGGTGTAGGGCATGGCCAGATCTGGGAAGAGGGCTCGGGAGTCTCAGCGGGGGCCACCACACAGGGAGGACGCTCCCTTAGTAGCCAGCTGCAGTGGCAAGCTATGGCAGCAGGGTGTGCCAGGCTGGGAGAAGGGATCCCTGTCCTCCTATGGAGCGCTCTCATCCTCCCCCGGCTCCTGCCTGACCCACCATTGTGCCAATCTGCCATCTGTCTTTGTCACCTCAGTCTCCTTCCTCCTGGTCTGGCACACCAGTGTGGCCTGAAGTTTGTGCTGTCACCAGCCAGCCATGACCACCAGGTGAGCTCCATGCAGCCACACCTAGGAACAGGGCCACACCTGGGGAACAGGGCCACACCTGGGGAACAGGGCCACACCTAGGGAACAGGGCCACACCCGGGGAACAGGGCCACACCTGGGGAACAGGGCCCGAGACAACAAACAGCTTGCTTGTGGGGCCAGAGCAGGTTTGGGTCAGCAGGTGACCAGGGAGCCAATGGTCTGTAAAATCAGCAGCTGGGCAAGGGATTTTCCTTTACTGTTGCCACGTGAGGAATGCCTGGTAAGGAGAAACCAACAGGGAAATTATGGGATCTGACTGCGTGTGGCTGTATAATGAAGACTGAGTCTTTGAAATGCACAGAGGTGCATCACCGAGAGGCTGGCTGGCTTTTCTGTGGCACAGACATGTCCATGCTGCTCAAGAGATGTTGCCAGTTTCTTTGGTCTCTTTACCAAGAAAGGAGAAGAGAAGCAGGGCGCAGGCTGACAAAGCCTGCTTGTCTGTCCCACTGCTTACCTATGATGGTGATCAACTTGACTACACCTGGGAACACTGAAGCCCAGCGAGCTGGGCACACACACCTGTGAAGGGTTCTCTTGATCAGAATCTTTGAGGTGGAAAGACCGCTCTAAATCTGGATCATTTGAAGTCAGAAGTTCCCCTGCCCCAAATCTGGATCATTTGAAGTCAGAAGTCCCACCCTAAATCTAGATCATTTGAAGAAGACCAAGCCTAAATCTGGCCACACCTTCTGGGCATTAAAGGAGAACATGGAAGAAGGAAGCTTTGGGCTGCTTGCACTCACTCTCACTGCTGGCACTCACTCACTCTCACTGCTGGCACTCACTCTCACTGTCAAGTTCATCTACCCTGCTGCGGAGGTATCCCTTTACTGACATTAGAACCTACCTCTTTGGGGTTCCAACTTAGACTGAAGAGCAACTGAGACATCCAGCCTCGCGGACTGTTGGCCTTTCAGTCAGAAGACAGCCACTGTTGGACTAGCTGGACCCCAGTCTGTAAGTCACTCTAACAAATCCTCCATATATAAAGAGAGAATTCCATTCTAGTAGTTCTGTTCCTCTAGAGAACCCTAACTAACACACCTGCTCCAACTGTTCCTCATCTTTTCAGGGGGAGAAGATCTGCAGAGTCACTAGGAGACACTGTACACCATACTCTTGACACACATCCTCCTTGTGGAGCTCACAGATGTCTATCTCACAGAGGAAGACAATCAGTGAATGTCCTAAGAGATACTAAGTAGTTGCTCTAGGACACAATCTTGTCAGAGAACCTTGTAACTCATAGCCAGCCAGGCCTTTGGTCCCAGACACAATGCACTTTGGTTCCCAAGGCAGATCTCGGAGCTCAAGTCCAGCACTCTCAGGAGCCATCTTTTCTTTCCTTGGTTCTGTGGATCCGTGTGTTTGGCATGTAAGCTTCTCTCTGGGAGAAGTGTGAGTGAGGTAGGTACTAGAGGGCTGAGGGCCCAGCACCAGGCATGCTGGTGAGGAGCTGTCATCTGAGTGGGCCCTGTTGCGGTCTACCCTGACAGGGCAAAAGGGAAGGAGACAGGCACTGTACCTGCCTCAAGAGCCTGTCAACTCCAGCCAAGGTGGTGCTCTCTGTAGAGGCTGGAGGCCTTGGATCTGAGGAATGTGGAACTTTGTGTCTGTTACCTATTTGTCTAGAACACTCTTCCTCTTTCCGCATCCAGGTGAATGCTCTCCCCTTCATTCATCCTGGGAGGCTTTCTCTTCCACAGAGGAGCCAAAACAAGGTTAAGCCGTGCATCTGAAATCAGTTGCTGATCAAATGTATGGGACGTCCTTGTTGGCTCCTGTAAGGTTAGAAGACACTACAACTGAACCAGGGCTGTCATGTGGGTAAGCCCAAAGTCAAAATCAGCAGAGAGTGGAGATTCACTACTTGTAGAAGGTAAGGAGGGCAGGGGCATCATTTGGAAGGCAATGTCTGATTAAATACAGAAAGCAAGGAGGTTTTATTCAGGGAGCTTCAACATATTCATAGACGGGTAGGTCCATTCCTGAAAATGCTCAGTTTACAGTCATGGAGCTCATGCTTAAAAGATTGAAGTAATGGACAGAAATGCCTGAGGGCATATTTACTTTACAGTAGTTTGAATACTGTATAGTATTGAAATACTTTACAGTGGAAGGAAGTCTGATCGTTGATATAAGCCTTCAATCCCAGCACTCCAGAGCAGAAATAGCCAGTTCTCTGATCTTGAGGCTAGCCTGCTCAACAAAGCCAGTTTCAGGCCAGAGAGCCAGGACCAAACAGTGAGACTGTGTAATGAAAATGAGGAAGAGGTACTTTAAACTAGAATCAGTGTAGGATCCTGCCCCAGAAGGTGCCAGACTTCCTTTGTGGCTGACAGCCACCATCTACTAGGGCTCATGTTGCTACCTCTGGGGCACGCGGCTTATGGCGAGCAGTCTGAGTAACCACTTCTACTAGACTTTGCATCCAAAAATTGCTGGTGAGCTGTGTCCACTCACTGGAAATAGGAGCAAAACACAGTTATGACCTGCCAGAGATCATTTAATGAAAACAAATGCAAAATGTCAGTTGTGTCCCTTCTGGCTCCGCGTCTGGTCTCCTGTTCCTCTGCAGGTGTCACGGGATTCTGATGTGGCCCTGAAAACTTATTCTTCAATGACTTCTGTTGGCACTTTACCTTCAACCCTGTTCTGAGGATGTTCATTCCTGCTTGTTCGTGGTCCCTTCCCCAGGC